CAGACTTTTTTGTCTTTCTTATCAACAATTGTTAAGTCTGGGGTGTTATGTTGCAGGTGCTTGTCTGTTTGAATTCTGAAGTCCCAGAGCAGTTTAATTTTATCATTTTCTATGACTTTCTCTATTTTATGATCCCACCAGTTTTTGCTTACAGGCAAATGATATTTCTTGCAGATCTTCCAATGCACCATTGTTGCTATTAATAATAATAATAATAATAATAATAATAATAATAATAATAATAATAATAATAATAATAATAATAATAATAATAATAATAATAATAATAATAATAATAATAATATTAAAGTGCCCCAAGTGTTTTTTATTTAAACATTAACTCTGTTAAACATTCTCTCTCACTTTGATGACAGAGCAATGAAGGACCCAAAATTTTCCCCTTTTATATTGAGAAACAGGAAGAGGGCACTTGGCTGCAGACCATCTCCAGAACATTCAAGAAGCCAATGAATTTCCCCCAATCCAAACTAAATATCCCTGATTGCTCAGATCCCGATTTCTTTCATGTTTTCGTCCTTGGTTCTCCCTCTTACCTCAGAGTCGTTAATGTAATGTACTTCATCAAAGATCACCCACTCTAGGTCTCTGAGGACATCGGAGCCATTATAGAGCATAGACCTTTGGAAATAAGAAAAAAAAAGAAAATGGCATTCTAGGACAGCGCTATTGTTCTAAGCAAAACGAACAAGCAAACAACTAAAAGATTTGGGTTGTCACTTTGGCCCTGCTTAATTATTAAAGTATGAAGGAATTTGAGAAAGGAGTCTGAATTGGAAAAGGTCAATTCTTGACTGATACATGCATTGCCTTCAAAGGAAAATGGCATGTATGCAAAACCAACAGTTACAGATAGCGTACATTTTGTATTTTGTATGTATATGTATATTTATATTTTTGTGGCATTCTAGTCATACACAGCTATTCCTCGACTTACGACCACAACTGAGCCCAAAATTAAGTGAGACAGTTGTTAAGTGAATTTTGCCCCATTTTACAACCTTTCTTGCCTCAGTTGTTAAGTGAATCACTGCACTTGGTAAGTTAGTAACCCGGTGGTTACTAGAAATAAGGACCTGACCGTTAGAACAATTAACCAGTGGAACAACCTGCCTCCAGAAGCGGTGAATGCTCCAACACTGGAAGTTTTAAAGAAGAGACTGGACAGCCATTTGTCCGAAATGGTATAGGGTTTCCTGCCTGAGCAGGGGGTTGGACTAGATGATCTCCAAGGTCCCTTCCAACTTTATGATGATTGATGATGATGATGATGATGACGATGATGATTGGGAGAATCACATCCCAGCTTCTGAAACATCACCATACCGATTCTGACATTTGGAATCGTAAGTGTACAACACTGCTTTCTTAAAATATCTGGATTCATCTACTGAATCTACTTAGACAACACATCGGAATTTCATAAATTCACTCGTACCTCATCGTACCTTCCAGCCATTCTGCCCCCCCCCTTTGCCCGAGAGAGACAGCCTTCTCTCTTCAACCTAGCCCTCACCTAAGGATCTCGGTTGTCATGATGAGGCAAGAAGCATCCGGATGCAGCTGCACATCTCCTGTCAACAAGCCAACATCGCCAAAGGTGTTCTTGAAATCCCGAAACTTCTGGTTGGAAAGCGCTTTGATTGGGGATGTATAGATGGTGCTGCAAAAGGAGGCAGAAGGGGAAAGAGTGAGATTATTTAGAAAGCCCTGGACTCTAGAATAATCTGAAGAACCGACTCCTTTGGGGTTGTTTTTTTTTTAATGAAGATGGTGTTTCTCAACCTTGGCAACTTGAAGACAAATGGACTTCAACTCCCAGAATTCTAGGAGTTGAACTCCACACATCTTCAAGTTGCTAAGATTGAGAAACACTGCATTAGGAACATTTATAATATATGCAGGAGGAAGAGATAGGTAGATAGGTAGATAGGAAGGTAGGTAGGTAGATAGGAAGATAGGTAGACAGGAAGATAGGTAGACAGACAGACTGAATACCGTAACTTTATCGTCACTTTAGATGTACACTAATCAGCATACATTAAAATGAAATTTTGTTGCATTCAGCTCTCAAAGGGTAACCATCTCCAATATACACGACATAAACATGACAATAAACGATGCATACACGTATATGACACAGAGAAACACACAGTCTGGTTCGGATGTACACATATACATGGCGAGAAAAAAGAATCCTGCGAATTTACAAGACGGATGGCATAAGGAACAAAGCTGTTGCAGAATCTAGTAGTCGTGCTAGAAATACTTCGGAACGGGGGGGGGGGGGCAACAGAAACAGACCGTGAATCTTCTAAGTACAGATATTTCTAGACTTACGACTGTATTTGAGGCAAGTATTATGGTCATGTTACTTGGGAAGTGGGTCACCACCTGACCACAGCTGATTTTAGGAGCCTTTTTGTGGCGGTTGTTAAATGCCCTAGTCGTTCAGCAAACCTAGTTTCACCAGTGGATGTTTTTAGCCCCAAACTGGAATTAAATGATGTGGAAACTGGCAAAAACCACTGAAAAATGTGGCCATTTGACTGTGGGACGCTGCAAACAGCTGTCAATGTGAGCTGATTGCCAAGTGTTCAACATGTGACTCTGTGTGTGTGTGTGGGGGGGTGTCTCCGATTGTTGAAACTTTGGAATTGGATCATAAATAGTCCTGGGAAGGTCCATCATAATGCTGAACAGTTGCTAAGCAACCAGTTGTTAAGTAAGGATTACCTGTACAGGTAGTCCTCGACTTACAACAGTTCATTTAGTGACCGTTCAAAGTTACAACGGCACTGAAAAAAGGGACTTATGGCCATTTTTCTTACTTATGACCATTCCCAGTTACAAGCTTTGCAGCACCCCCAGGATCACGTGATCAAAATTCAGACACTTGGCAACTGGTTCACAATTATGACCGTTGCTGTGTCCCAAGGTCATGTGATCCCCTTTTGCAACCTTTTGACAAGCAAAGTCAATGGGAAAGCCAGATTCACTTAACAACCGGGTTACTAACTTGTCAGCTTCATGGATTCACTTAACAACGGTGACAAGAAAAGTCATAAAATGGGGTAAAAATTTTTCACTCAGCAACATAAATTTCAGGCTCAACTGTGGTCATAAGCTGAGGACTATCTGTATAAGGACTAATGGGAATGTTGCAAATTTACAAATTTAAGCTGCCAGTATCTTAAGTATCAAGTGAAGAGTAACGTTACCTTCTTCAATAGCAATTAACAACAAAGATAAAAGAAAAAAATATCTGACTCCGAGTTAATTCTAAATAATTGGAGTAATTGTAAAAGCAATAACAATACCGAAACAATATCCAGTAGTGGCCAAAATTGTGGAAACCTTTTGGGAAAAGTGTATTTTTGAGGTTTGATGGCTAGTAACACAACATTTTTTGGGGAGTAGTACCATAAAATTATATATCAATGGAAAGATAATTTAATCAAGAATGTAATGCAACCAGTTTTGTTCAATTATCTGTACTGTATTTTATGAAAAGCTATAACCAAATAACCAGAAAAAAGTAAGCACAACTTGCTTAGGTTGATATCAGGTAGCTTTCCTTCATCTGATTGTAGCCAATGAGCATGAGTGTTTAGAGAGCCAATCAGTTGTCATTTTGTTTTGGCAATGAGCCAATCAGATCACAGTAGGATTCAGTTATTGATGTCATGTATTGAAGCTGAGAGGAGGACATTTGTCAGTGTGTTATGTGATCGCTATCAAGTTGGTTGGGTTGTTTTGTGTTCTTTCATTTAGTGAGCTTGTAAAACGTAATAAAATTAAAGTAATGGTGCAAAGAGTTGACTGGTTGCCCAGAAAGCGATGTAAAATAGTATTATTAAGTGAACAAGGCTACAGTTATCAAGAAATTAGAAAAAAAATTGGTGAAAACTTAACCAAAGGTGGCATTTCTACTGTACACTTTTCCCAAAAGGTTTCCACAATTTTGGCCACTACTGTAAATCACCTACAAAAAGAATGCAGTTAAAGCTCATTAGGATGAGAAAAAAAATCAATCCTTTGTACCCATCATGTGCATTTGGATCAAGGTATCTAAGTGTCAGTTTGGTTTAGCGATTAAGGCACCAGGTGTCTGTGAGTTCTACTCCCGCCTTGGGCACGAAAGCGGGCTGGGTGAGTTTGGGCCAATCACTACCTCTCAGCGCATGACGCCAGTGACAATCTGGTCAGTCAACTACTATTGCAACCAATGGACCAAGCTTGGTTGATCTGAAAAAAAAAATGGACCCTAGCTTGTGGGCCAACTGTTAAGACAAAAAAGAAGAAGTGTATTTGGGTCTAGAACAGTGGTTCTCAACCTTTTTAATGCCGCGACCCCAACCAGTCGTAAGTCGAGGACTAAACCGGTTGTAAGTCGAGGACTAAACTGGTCGTAGGTCGAGGACTACCCAACTGGTCGTAAGTCGAGGACTTTCCCTGCCCGGGAGCGCCGCGCATGTGTGGTTCCGCCCCCTGCGCCGGCCGAGGCGTAGCTGGCAAGCGGCAGAGACGGAGCAGGCCGACCACCAGCTGGCCCAGCTCAAGGGAGGTAAGGCACCCGCCGGAAAAGGGGAAAAAAATGGCAGACAAAAAAATGCGGACCAAAAAAAATGGCGGACAGCCTTGCTTGGCGACCCCTGTGAAATGGTTGATCGACCCCAAATGGGGTCCCGACCCACAGGTTGAGAACCACTGGTCTAGAAGATGATTGGAAAGCATAACACAAAACCCACCCAGGAAACAAGGATGTTCTCACCGTGTCATGTGCTTCTGTGACAGAGCAATGGCGTACTCGGCCACGACAGTCTTTCCCGCAGAGGTGTGGGCGGCGACAAAGACGGAATCATGTTTCTCCAAGTGGAGAATTGCCTGTTTCTGGAAAACATCGGGCTCAAAAGGCCACTGGGAGGGGAGGGAGGGAGGGAGGGGAAAGAGGAAATTTAGTTTATAGACACCCAGCTCTCCACTCCAGGCAGCCCAACAGAACTGGTGTCAAAGCTGATTCGGATTCCATCCCTGCCTGCCAATTTTGCTCGCAGCTTGACAACAGAAACAGAAGGGAGGGGATGAAATCCTGGGGGGGGGGGAATTGGGAGGGGCTGAGGAATCAAGCGAGCCAGCTGGGCCCTGTGAAAGTTCCTTCACTTCAAGGACACGTTATGGGAACTCTTTGAAATAGAATAGAATGGAATAAGAGTTGGAAGACTCTTGGTGGTCTTCTAGTCCAACCCCCTGCTCAGGCAGGAAACCCTATAGATTTCAGACAAATGGCTGTCCAGTCTCTTCTTAAAAACTTCCAGTGTTGGAGCATTCACAGCTTCTGGAGGCAGGTTGTTCCATTGGTTAATTGTTCTAACTGTCAGGAAGTTTCTCCTTAGTTCTAAGTTGCTTCTCTCCTTGATTAGTTTCCATCCGTTGCTTCTCGTCCTGCCTTCAGGTGCTTTGGGGAATAGCTTGACTCCCTCTTCTTTGTGGCAGCCCCTGAGATATTGGAACACTGCTATCATGTCCCCCCTCGTCCTTCTCTTCATTAAACTAGACATATCCAATTCCAGCAACCGTTCCTTATATGCTTTAGCCTCCAGTCCCTGATCATCTTTGTTTATCTTCTCTGTACTCTTTCTAGAGTCTCAACATCTTTTTTACATCTTGGTGACCAAAACTGGATGCAGTATTCCTAGTGTGGCCTTACCAAGGCATTGTAAAGTGGTATTAACACTTCACGTGATCTTGATTCTATCCCTCTGTTAATGCAGCCTAGCACTGTGTTGGCTGTTTTGGCAGGTGCAGCACACGGCTGGCTCACATTTAAGTGATTGTCACAGGCACAGAACTGTTTTCCAAAACGCAAAGAAAGCATTGGATTGGCAGACAATGGACAGTGGGCGTTCTAAAGGGGAAAAGTGGAACTTTACCGATGTAACTCTCTGTGGCGACCTTTAGAATTGGCTTTCCTTCGTCTGTACCTATAAGGATCTATCAGTAAAGTTATACTCTTGGTAAAATGGTGTCCCAGGAGGTTTTTTTTCCCTCCCCCTGCATATGCTAATAGGACAGTGGGCAACTGGTGGTTTACCTTGAAGGCTGGATCAGGAATTAGCTTGTAGAAATCGTCCACAGGGGAGCTTACATCAACCTGGATAGCCCACTGTTCTTTGGGAGGCACTGCAGCAGGGGCGGGCGCAGGCGCAGCCTCTGGGGCTGATTTGGGGATGGGTGTCACCTCCTGAGGACAAGGCAGACAGACCGAGGATAGGCAAAAGCAGTTAATATGGAATCCTCCCAAGCTGCTTTCTAGAGCTAACACACAGCGTTTCCAAACTATGTAGGTTTATAGCAGGGGTAGTCAACCTTGGCTCTTTTATGACTCGTGGACTTCAACTCCCAGAATTCCTGAGCCAGCCAAGCTGGCTCAGGAATTCTGGGAGTTGAAATCCACGAGTCATAAAAGAGCCAAGGTTGACTACCCCTGGTTTATAGCGATGTTCAAAAAACGGAAGCATTTTTAAATGCCTCCTCTTTGCTTCTCCCCATCAAAAGCTTCCTAGCTCATACAGCTAGCTTGTTTCAGAAGAATTTCAACACAAACTGGAACCATAATTAGTTACTAGATATGGGCCACAGACTGAAGTCCAGGCAGAATAAAACCGCATCAATAAAATAATCTCCTCACAACTCAGAGGCCGGGCAGAGGAGAAGTAAGAGAAAAGAAAAGGCACCTTCTCTTCATAATGGCAATGACTTATCTTGATATTTGAAGACAAGCAATAAATCTCCAACCATTGGCTACAATAGTTTTTACTTCTTAGCAACAACGCCTCCTTTCTCGGCCATCCCAGTCCAGAAAAACCAACCGGTCCCAACACCCATGATCCCAGTTTCACTTTTCCCACTTCTCTAGAATAGGATCTCCAAACATGACAACTTTAAGACTTGCGGACTTCGACTCCCAGAATTCCTCAGCCAGCGTGTCTGGCTGAGGAATTCTGGGAGTCAAAGTCCACAAGTCATAAAAGGGCCAAGTTTGAAGACCCCTGCTCTAGAGCAGGGCTTTTCAACCAGTGGTACGGGTACCATCTGTGGTACATTGGCACCTGGCAGGTGGTACGCGACCATCCTAGAAAAGTGGTAGCGGGGGAGGGGAATGAGCTGAACCGGTGGCAGCACCGCACAAGCCTGAATGAGAGACGGCTGGAGCTGCAGGGCTGTCAGGGCTCAGTGGAAGTGCCAGGATCAGTGCCAGGCTCCAGCTGGAGCTTGGTGCTGATCCTGGCGCTTCTGCTGAGCCCAGAAGAAGCACCAATCAGCTGGAATGTTGCAGCCTCTCCAGGGTCTTGTGATTTACATTCAGATGCTTGGCAACTGATTCATATTTATGACGGTCACAGTGTCCCAGGGTCATGTGAAGTGACCAAAACCTGCTGCAACCACCCAGCAGACGGAGGGAATAAAAACCAAATACCCCCCACCCCACCCCCACTGCCAATCCTCAACAGAAATGCTCACAACAATGAAAACCTTGGACAGGAGGAAGAGTGCCGCCAGGCCTGTCTTGCTCGGCTGTGGCTTGGGGGGGCACTTTTTTCAATGCCATTGTAACTTTGAACAGTCACTAAGCGAACTGTTGTAAGTTGAGGACTACCTGTACTTTATCACTTTTTTCCTTTTTTGGGGGGGGGGGGTCATCATGTTTTTGACACCTTGCTAGGCGACTGGTGGTACTCGGATGTTGCCATATCCTAAAAGTGGTACAATGGGTGAAAAGGTTGAAAAGCCCTGCTCTAGAGCTTTCCAGATCTTGCTGGAGCAAAGCTGGAGGATGCTGGGAGCTGCAGGTCACCTATATCTGAGCCCCCGTTTCTCTATTCTATAGCTTGATATACCCTACCTTTGTTTCCTTCTTGCTTCTGAAACTGGGCTCCTACTTCTCGTATCGCCATGCACACACGAGGACAAGCCTGAACGCAGACGCAGCCTTACCTTAAGCACCAGTTCCTCCAAGCTGTTCACTCTGTGCAGTGGTGCTGGTTCTGCTGGAGGGATCTCTTCTTCCTTTGCTCCCTTACTCTTCCCTTTTTTCCTCCTCTTCTCCACTTCCTCCGTCTTCTCTTTGCCTTCTTCATCGCTGGAGGCCTCCAGCTCAAAGGTGTCCAGCGCACCCAGCAAATTGGTCAAGTTTAGCAATCCTGGGGAGGCCATGATCTCTGAAGAAGCAAAAGGAACAAAATCTGAACCCTATTTTTTTTTTTTAAAAAAAAAAGAAAACTAGGAAGGGAAACCTTTAGGGCAGTGATGGCGAACCTATGGCACGCGTGCCAGAGGCGGCACTCGGAGCCCTCTCTGTGGACACACGTGCTGTCGCCCCAGCCCCGCCTCCTCCCATGGCCCCTTCCTCACCAGCAGCCCCCCCGGAGGACAGTCACCCCCGGGCGCGGCCCACGCAAAGCAGCGCAGCCAAGGACATGGTAGCCGGGCAGCGGGGACAAGACTCTGCCCTTGCGCCCCGTCACGTGCAGATGATGCTGCGGAGGGCGTGGCCGCCATGGTGCTGCTGGGCCGCTTGGGTGATCTGTGGCGGGCCGTGTAGGTGGTGGGTGGCCCAGTGGGCAGGGCGGAGCGGGAACAGGGGTGGGGGTGGTTTTTGGGCACTAGGTCTCTAAAAGGTTCGCCATCACTGCTTTAGGGCTTCTTTAGGTAGGACCTACTTATAAATTCCAAGTTGCTCTCATCCTGATGTATGCTATATGAGCTAAATGGATTTTTCCAGCTAAAGGTCCCTAATATTTTTTGGGTTGCTCACACTTGTAATAATACTGGAAAAAGAATGTTATGAATACGGATGTTCTGATGTGATCCGAAGTGCTCTTGTGCTTGAAACCGATCCGACAGTGAAAAATGAAGATCAAGCCAGAAAGTGTCAAGAACACTTCTGGGAAAAAGTCTTTCAACTTTGAGATGCTTTGCACTCCCTTCGTTGTAGCACTCATCATTTTCATTTTGCCATTGACACTTTGATTTTGCTATACCTTGTTTGGTGAATTCCACCCCTTTCTTCCATCCTGGTGGCACTGTCAGCAAATCTGAGGGGCCAAGAGAACAACATGAAGCAGTTGCCAAGAAGAAACCATGTCTTCAACATCAAACTTGCAGTCAAGGATCGTCTAGTACAAGGCTTTTCAACCAGTGGTACGGGTACCACCTGTGGTACATTGGCATCTGGCAGGTGGTACACAACCATCCTAGAAAAGTGGTAGCGGGGGAGGGGAATGAGCTGAACTGGTGGCAGCACCGCACAAGCCTGAGCGAGAGATGGCTGGAGCTGCAGGGCTGTCAGGGCTCAGCGGAAGCGCCAGGATCAATGCTTCTTCGGGGCTGTCAGGGCTCAGTGGAAGCGCCAGGATCAGTGCCAGGCTCCAGCTGGAGCTCGGTGCTGATCCTGGTGCTTCTGCTGAGCCCTTAAGAAGCGCCAATCAGCTGGAATGTTGCAGCCTCTCCAGGGTCTTGTGATTTACATTCAGATGCTTGGCAACTGATTCATATTTATGACGGTCACAGTGTCCCAGGGTCATGTGAAGTGACCAAAACCTGCTGCAACCACCCCAGCAGACGGAGGGGAATAAAAACCAAACACCCCCCCCACCCCACCCCCGCTGCCAATCCTCAACAGAAATGCTCACAACAATGAAAACCTTGGATAGGAGGAAGAGCGCCGCCGGGTGCTTGGCTATGGCTTAAGGGGCCCTTTTTTCAGTGCCATTGTAACTTCAAACAGTCACTAAGCGAACTGTTGTAAGTTGAGGACTACCTGTACTTTATCATTTTTTTCCTTTTTTTTTGGTCATCAAGTTTTTGACCCCTTGCTAGGCGACTGGTGATACTCGGATGTTGCCATATCCTAAAAGTGGTACAATGGGTGAAAAGGTTGAAAAGCCCTGGACTAGTAGTTTATTAATGGATCTAAGCCAGTGTTTCCCAACCTTCACCACTTGCAGATGTGTAAACTTCAAATCCCAGAATTCCACAGCCAACATAGCTAATGTTGGAATTCTAGGAACATAGCACTAGTGATGTTACCTAGTTTGGGTAATGAAACATCGGCGAGAAAACATCCAAGCTCAGAGAGCACCAAGGATCAGCCCTGAGCTACAAATATTCTCTTCTATCAGTATTCCGGGAACTATAGTCCACACACCTGAAGGTTGGGGAACACTGATCTAAACCATTCCAGGAATCTTTCAGATGGATTACAATGCTATCAATAAAACTACCATGAAACACGCTTTATTCTTTCACACATTAGTTTTACCAGTGTGATTGTAAGGGCTATCAAAGGGCTAACTGGCCAATTATTTCAGTTTTATTTCCATCTGAGTTTTGTCCATATCCTTCTTTGTTAATAAAATCATAAAGTACGCAGGTAACAGAGAACTCAAATAATCCCACGGCGCAGCTCTTCTGTGCCAGGCCCCATTTTCCTATCATCCCTCTCTCTTGAGTACCGTAAATAGAATAAACTACGTTTTTTGAATCGTGTCAAACAGAGGGCAGAAGGCATTTAAAAACAGAAGTCATATTAATAGAAGTTGAAACTCAAGTACTTTGGCCACCTAATGAGAAGGAAGGACTCACTGGAGAAGAGCCTAATGTTGGGAAAGATTGAGAGCAAGAGAAGAAGGGGACGACAGAGAATGAGGTGGCTGGATGGAGTCACTGAAGCAGCAGGCGTGAGCTTAAATGGACTCCAGAAGAAGGTAGAGGATAGGAAGACCTGGAGGAACATTGTCCATGGGGTCGCGATGGGTCGGACACGACTTTGCAATTAACAACAACATTAACAAATATTAATAGAGCCGTTGGCTGGAATATGCTTACGTTACCTTTCTCAAAATCAATGTCCTCTTCCCTATCTTCTTGAGCCTTAATCAGTTCCAAGCTAGGCTCATCTATCCCACCTGGAGAGATTGTGTTACAAGAGAAGATTATTAGAGATTAGTGATCAGGAGCTTTTAGTTACCTGAAGGGGCAAAATTCTGCAAAAAGAAGACGCACGTTCTATAACCAAATTAGACACACGGGAAGAATCGAAAAGCCAATTCATTGTGAAACCAATATCAAAACAAGTGATCGACAAGAGGGGGTCCCCAACCCCAGGGCCGCACTCACTATCAGGCCTATTCAGAACCGGGCCGCACAACCGGCAGGCTGGTCTGCACGCAGCTTGACTTATGTGAGCTGGTGCGTGTGCACATGCACGCACAGCAAAACTTGTGCGAGTCAAGCTGTGCGTGCACGCGTGGCCCGATTTCCCTCTCTTCCCCCCCGCCGGGCCGCTAAGCCACAAAAGTTCAGGGCCACTGATCTACAACCCATTAAAAACCTTCTAGAGTAGGGGTGTCAAACTGCCGGCCCACGGACCAGACGCGTCATCCGGAAGCCGCGCCCACCCCATTGCCGGCAATGGCAAAACTGTCCCGATAACGTTGCGTGACATCACGAGTTTGACATGTCTGTTCTAGAGGCCAACGCTGGATGGAACGCTGTTCTTTGATTTGAAGTTTGTTCCTGCTTGTGGCTCTGCATTCAAAGTTATAAACTGGTGACTCAGTTTAACAGAAACGGGAGACCCACACCTGGCCAGAAGGGGTAGTTGGTGGCACTGCCTCGCAGAGACTCAGATGGAGGACCAGGTGCTCGCTGGAAGGACAGAGAATTCTTGGCTGATAATCCCATGTTGTCCACAAGTGCCTAGAATGGAAGTCAAAAGAGGGAGAGCTTTATCTCTCTTGTACGCAGGCACACAGAGACAACGCTACTTTCTTCTGATAGCCGACATTATTACGAAGCAACTAATATAGATATTTTATAGACATGCCTGGACTGTAAACCAGTGGCCTGGCATCTTGGGTGCTATACGGATAGTCCTTGACTTATGAATGGTTGCTTAGCAACTGTAGGTTATGAGGGACCTCCCTTTTATAGTCCTCCCACCTGCAGTCATGTGACTGCATTTCAAGCACTTGAAAGCTGACCCGCATTCATGGCCATTTCCAGTTATCCAGTGGACATGACGGTTTTGCTAAAAATCGGCAACTTCGGGTTTTTGGCAAAACTGCCCCGTACTGAATCATTGGTTAGTAACACGGTTAAGTGAAATCTGGCTTCCCCATTCACTCTGCTTGTCAGAAGGTTGCAGAAGGGACCCTGGGACATTGCAACTGTCATAAATATGAATCATGCCAGGGAATTGCGCATCCAATGTCCAAATGGAGTCAGAAACGCTGACACGAAACAGTTTTATATCAATATATTTACCGTAAATAAGAGAGGCAAACAGGAGCATGCTTGGGTAAATCAACACAGCAGGAACTCATTACTCAAAGGGTTATTTGGAGCTGCAGGAGAAGAAAGCATCTCTCACCTCTTTAAAACCCAGCAGCTCCCCGGTGGTGGGATTGCGCTCGGCCCGGAGAGTGGAGTGTACAGGCGTGACCGCTAGTGCAAAGAGTGACTGGATGTCTTTCTCTCGGGGCCAGAACCTGTCTCAGGATAAGAGGTGGAGTTAAACTATTTTGGCTTCATGACCCTCTTTCTACTACAGATGATCCCATTACTCACCTCACCCAGAGCTTAATGAAATGGAATGGAATGGAAAATAGAATTGAAAATAGAACAGAAGATAGAATAGAATGGAATGGAATAGATTTGAAAATAGAATTGAAAACAGAATAGAACAGAACAGAATAGAATATATAAAATAGAACAGAACAGAATAGAATAAAATGGAATGGAATTGAAAATAGAATAGAAGATAGAATAGAGAATAGAAGATATAAAATAGAACAGAACAGAACAGAATAGAATGAAATGGAATGAATTGAAAATAGAATAGAAGATAGAATAGAGAATAGAATAGAATAGAATAGAAGATATAAAATAGAACAGAACAGAATGAAATGGAATAGAAAATAGAATAGAAGATAGAAGATTAGAATAGAATAGAATGGAATAGAACAGAAAATAGAACAGAACAGACTAGAATGAAATGGAATAGAAAATGGAATAGACGATAGAATAGAATAGAAGATAGAAGATATAAAATAATAGAATAGAATGGAATAGAATAGAAAATAGAATAGAATAGAAGATATAAAACAGAACAGAACAGAATGAAATGGAATGAATTGAAAATAGAATAGAAGATAGAATAGAGACTAGAATAGAATAGAAGATATAAAATAGAACAGAACAGAATGAAATGGAATAGAAAATAGAATAGAAAATAGAAGATTAGAATAGAATAGAATAGAATAGAATAGAATAGAAGATATAAAATAGAACAGAACAGAATGAAATGGAATAGAAAATAGAATAGACGATAGAAGATTAGAATAGAATAGAATAGAATAGAATAGAATAGAATAGAATATAGAACAGAACAGACTAGAATGAAATGGAATAGAAAATAGAATAGACGATAGAATAGAAGATAGAAGATATAAAATAGAATAGAATGCAATAGAATAGAAAATAGAATAGATTTATAGTCGCTTTAAGTGTACATTAATCAGCATACATTAAAATGAGATTTCGATGCATACAACTCTCAAAGGGTAACCACCTCCAATATCACTTTATAAACATGACAAAAATAATAATTATGCATATACCTACATACACACACACACATATATGATCCAGAGAAACAACACAGTCTAGTTCAGATGTGTACATATACATGCCGAGAAAAACAAATATTGCGAGTTTACCAGACGGATGGCATAGGGAAAAAAGCTGTTACAGAATCTGGTAGTCCTGCTAGAAATACTTTGAAACCTCCTCCCAAAGGGAAGCAACAGAAACACACCCATGAAGTGTGTGTGTGTGTGGGGGGGGGTCTCTAACAATGCCTTTTCTCACCCCTTTTGCATCTTGCAAGCAACCACGCCAGCTACCAGGGACTCACCTGTGAGACCTTTCAAAGTCATGGACGGGAAGCCATTCCGGGCTGTTGAGATAATGCTGCTCCAATTCCGAGGACAGATCCTCAGCGTACGGGGGCAGCCCATGTGGCAACTGAGGAGGTAGGCAAAAATGAGGGAAGATGCATCATTTCTTATTAACACTATCCGCAAATCGTATTTGCTACAGCTCAGAAACTAAGCAGTACTTCTTCAGTAAGAGACTACCAGCGATTTCCAGAGTTATAGGTTTCACTGGGAAGCTGAAAAATATTCTGGGAAAAAAAAAAAACAGTGGCAAACCACTTCTGTACTGTTGCCAAAGAAACATCATTAGATTTGTCAGAATAACAACTCAATCTACAGGAGCTCAAGATAGCACAGGCTGCACACTTAATAATAATAATTAATATTAATATCAATAATATTAATAATAATAATAATAATAATAATAATAATAATAATAATAATAATAAAGTTGGAAGGGACCTTGGAGGTCATCTAGTCCAACCCCCTGCTGAGGCAGGAAACCCTATACCGTTTCGGACAAATGACTGTCCACTCTCTTCTTAAAAACTTCCAGTGTTGGAGCATTCACCGCTTCTGGAGGCAGGTTGTTCCACTGGTTAATTGTTCTCACTGTCAGGAAGTTTCTCCTTAGTTCTAGGTTGCTTCTCTCCTTGATTAGTTTCCATCCGTTGCTTCTTGTCCTGCCTTCAGGCGCTTTGGAGAATAGCTTGACTCCCTCTTCTTTGTGGCAGNCCCCCCTCGTCCTTCTCTTCATTAAATTAGACATACCCAATTCCAGCAACCGTTCCTTATATGTTTTAGCCTCCAGTCCCCTAATCATCTTTGTTGCTCTTCTCTGCACTCTTTCTAGAGTCTCGACATCTTTTTTACATTGTGGTGACCAAAACTGGATGCAGTATTTCCTCCTAATTCTTCCCCCATCCACCATTTGAGGTAGCGAATGCGGTGGAGAATGACTGATCCCAATCTTCCAGCTGGTCTCCATGGTTCAGGGTGGACTAGAACTGAAAATTTGTATTTTTAGTGTTTTGTTCTTATTATATACATGTTTTTGTATTGTTTTATTCTTTTTGACATTGTAAGCCGCCCAGGGTTATCTTATGGGTTACATGGATGGTGAATAAATTTAATAAATTTAACTGGGGTTTCCCCATTCGTAACCCAGCACTTTTTCTATTACAGGTGGTCCTTGACGTATAGCCACAGCTGAGCCCAATATTTCTGTTGCTGAGCGAGACATTTGTTAAATGAATTTTGCCCCATTTTACGACCTTTCTTGCCACAGTCGTTAAGGGAATCACTGCAGTTGTTAAGTTAATAACACAACTGTTAAGCAAATCTGGCTTCCCTATTGATTTTGCTGGTCAGAAACTCGCAAAAGGTGATCACATGACCCGGGACACTGCAACCGTCATAAATATGAATCAGCTGCCAAGCATCTGAATTTTGATCAGGTGACCACGGGGATGCTCTGCAAAGGTGAAAAACGGTCATAAGTCACCTTCTGCAGCGCCATTGTAAGTTTGAACAATCACTAAATGAACTGTTGTAAGACGTGTTGTTTAAGATATAAATTATCGCGGCTTTCTTCTTTCTTCTTCGTGTGATAACACAGGAGCATAAACATCTGACAGCGGTTTGTTGAAAGAATTGTGGTTTAATATACAATATGAAACAGTAACTGTGAGAGGGACCTCGGAGTCCTAGTGGACAATCACTTAAATATGAGCCAGCCGTGTGCTGCAGCTGCCAAAAAAGCCAACACAGTGCTGGGCTGCATTAACAGAGGGATAGAATCAAGATCACGTGAAGTATTAATACCACTTTACAATGCCTTAGTAAGGCCACACTTGGAATACTGCATCCAGTTTTGGTCACCACGATGTAAAAAAGATGCTGAGACTCTAGAAAGAATACAGAGAAGAGCAACAAAGNTATCTCAGGGGCTGCCACAAAGAGGGAGTCAAGCTATTCTCCAAGGCGCCTGAAGGCAGGACGAGAAGCAATGGGTGGAAACTGATCAAGGAGAGAAGCAACCTAGAACTAAGGAGAAACTTCCTGACAGTTAGAACAATTAACCAATGGAACAATCTGCCTCCAGAAGAGGTGAATGCTCCAACACTGGAAGTTTTTAAGAAGAGACTGGACAGCCATTTGTCTGAAATGGTGTAGGGTTCCTGCCTGGGCAGGGGGTTGGACTCAATGACCTCCAAGGTCCCTTCCAACTTTATTATTATTATTATTATTATTATTATTATTATTATTATTATTATTATTATTATTATTATTATTATTATTATTAGAATACAAGGTAGTCAGTTATATACAAACAGTTCAAGTGAGTTAAAGATTCCAATTGCCATTCTCCTCAGGCACAGTCTCCTAAAGGGATACTACCCCAAAATACACTGCTGACTCATTCTCTATATATCATTTCTGCCGGTCAGCTACTAAATTATAACTACCTTGACACGACTGTCTGTACTTCACACTGGCTGTCAGCATAGAGAAAGGAACTGGCCCCAAATTCCACAGAGAGCTTCTGTGGCTGATGGAGGACTAGAATAGGAGTCTCCCCAAGCTTAACTCAAAGTCCTTTTTATTTGGCTAAAAAAAGATTATTATTTTAAGTTGCTATTGGCTGGGCTCACCCATGCTAAACCAAAACCTACGGATTACCAGTGGCAGCGGCTGACTTTGCACAACCTCCCAAGTCAAAATCCAAACAAGCCACATTGTGGTTTTGCTTCTCCTTTCAGGATAGGAAGGGCTACTGTACTCACTGTGGTCAGTGGAAATCCTTCTTTGGTGGGTTCCTCTTGGGTGATGAGCTCAAAACGACCAGCACATCCAACCTCCAAAATGGAGAGAGGCAACTCTAAAGGTCCTCGGGGAGGGAGGACTTGAAGAAGACAATGAGGTAAAGCTATGTTAAGACAATCTATCGCTACCCTTCAGTCAGAACTCTGCTCCCGTTGCTTTAAAATAATATACTCTGAGACTACCGTGTGAGACAACAGGTGAGGATCAAAATTTGCAAAATGGCAGTATCTGTGAAGGAAGGGGCTAGGACCACGATCATGCTGATTTTTATGCCTCCTCTCCCTATGGATACTCCTGATTATGGAACTGGAACAGATGATTTAAATGACTGAACCTCTTGTGGAAAACGAAAGAACTCTTACGAATTCCAGAGGGGTTTAGCAGAGAAGTTTATTGCGCAAGGTTCAGAGGCATATTAGAGATAGGCAATTCTGAACGAGGAGAGCGGGATTAGACTTCAGTTTTTATACTAATCTTCTTATAGAACAAAGGGCTACACATTGAAATACACACTGTGATACATTAGGAGCGTTTCTCACAGGCATACAATGGAAGGTTTTGCTACATACAAAGTATCCATGTGCAAAGCGCATTTGGTTGCCACATATTACTGACACAGAACTTTCCCAGTGAATTTTCCCAGTGATTATGCATTACCTCATTATTCTAGCAATTATGCAGACACATCATTATTGCAGTTACGCAGACAAATCATTATTCTAATAATTGTTCATTTTACTACATTAAACCCATTTTTATCCAGGACAAGAATTGAAACAGAACCATTGTCCAGATCTCCTATAACCAAGAAAACACATATGGTCTATCAAAAAAATAATAATCCATAATTCTTACTTGAGGTACAAATAAACAGGCTGGAGAAGTTTATAATACTGGGGAAGGAAGGAAGGTAGGTAGGTAGATAGGAAGGAAGACAACTAATACCAAAGTGGCTAGACTCAATTACAACAGCAATGGTACATCATTGCAATATCAGAAGGACCAGGCTGAGGGCAGATTGTCCTAGAAAAAAAAAATCTAACTATCCAGTTGCTGCACTGCCCTGATAGTACATAATCAATCATGCTCTATGTTCTCTAAGCTTTTTTGTCAACCTCAGCTCTGCTGGAGGATAAATCCCAATTCTGATATACTCAGGTCAAAGTCAAACATTGATTAGATTGGCTTCTACACCTAGAATTGGGAAGGGGATATCTTGACATCTTCAGCAAAATTCATTGATCCCATCTTAAATGTAAGAGATCACTCAGCTGCTCTCCCAAGGTTTCTTGTTTCTCCACCAATACAACTCTCTGAATTTTGCTTCACTTCATCTGCCCACAGAAGTACATGGCCTTGGAAGAAATTTGATGTTTAATTTTGACTCATGCTGAAGCTCTTTTAAAAAAAAAGATGCATATATACCAGCATAACTACAAGAACTGAGACATCCAAAATATTTTTTAAAAATTGTAATACATTCCTAGCTGAAATAAATCATCCCTCCCACACAAAGGCCCCTATCTTTACAGGACTCCGTGGCAAATTCAACTGTGAGAGAAGGACAGTCCTTTGGTAAATTAAAACAGGTTTTTCAAAGTTTTTCAGGCCATGAATCTGTTAAAAAAAATATCCTGGAACCTCTACTTAAGAAGCAAAGCTCTACTGGCCAAAAGTCAGTTGTGTTGGAGTTAATTCTTTCCCCATCCCCAGTTTCTATGTTCTTTATGAACATCTCACAGAACCCTAAGGCAGGGCTTTTCAACCTTTTCACCCATTGTGCCACTTTTAGGATATGGCAACATCCGAGTACCACCAGTCGCCTAGCAAGGGGTCAAAAACTTGATGACCCAAAAAAAAAAAAAAAGGAAAAAAGTAATAAAGTACAGGTAGTCCTCGACTTACAACAGTTCGCTTAGTGACTGTTCGAAGTTACAATGGCACTGAAAAAAGTGCCCCCCAAGCCACAGCCGAGCAAGACACCTGCCTGCCCACCCGGCCGCACTCTTCCTCCTGTCCGAGGTTTTCATTGTTGTGAGGCATTTCTGTTGAGGATTGGCAGCGGAGGTGGGGTGGGGGGTGTTTGGTTTTTATCCCCCCCCCCGTCTGCTGGGTGGTTGCAGCAGGTTTTGGTCATTTCACATGACCCTGGGACACTGTGACCGTCATAAATATGAATCAGTTGCCAAGCATCTGAATGTAAATCACAAGACCCTGGAGATGCTGAAAACATTCCAGCTGATCGGCGCTTCTTCTGGGCTCAGCAGAAGCACCAGGATCAGCGCCGAGCTCCAGCTGGAGCCTGGCACTGATCCTGGCGCTTCCAGTGAGCCCTGACAGCCCTGCAGCTCCAGCCGTCTCTCGCTCAGGCTTGTGCGGTGCTGCCACCAGTTCAGCTCATTCTCCTCCCCCGCTACCACTTTTCTAGGATGGTCACGTACCACCTGCCAGGTGCCAATGTACCACAGGTGGTACCCGTACCACTGGTTGAAAAGCCCTGCCCTAAGCTTTGGCAGAATGCAGTCCGAACCCCCTGATTTAACATATTGATTACAGCATCAGAGTCTATAGACAAGAATTACGTTGGTCAGACACATCGTAAGAGAAGGGAAGGAAGACGAGCTTTTGGCAGCCTAGGTTTGCATTTTGAATTGAAAGGGGACCCCCAGCTTCCTGCAGGCAGACATATTGGACCACGAACCTCCATAATCCCAACCCACTGCATGTGAGGGCTGTGGAACATGGGGGTTGCAATCCACTAGTTCTAAAGCAAGGCTTTTCAACCAGTGGTACAGGTACCACCTGTGGTACATTGGCACCTGGCAGGTGGTACGCGACCATCCTAGAAAATGGTAGTGGGGGAGGGGAATGAGCTGAACCGGTGGCAGCACCGCACAAGCCTGAGCGAGAGATGGCTGGAGCTGCAGGGCTGTCAGGGCTCAGCGGAAGCGCCAGGATCAGTGCCGCTTTCCAGCTGATCAGCGCTTCTTCGGGGCTGTCAGGGCTCAGTGGAAGCGCCGGGATCAGCGCCAGGCTCCAGCTGGAGCTCGGCGTTGATCCTGGCGCTTCTGAGCCCAGAAGAAGCGCCGATCAGCTGGAATGTTGCAGCATCTCCAGGGTCCTGTGATTTACATTCAGATGCTTAGCAACTGATTCATATTTATGACAGTCACAGTGTCCCAGGGTCATGTGAAGTGACCCAAACCTGCTGCAACCACCCAGCAGACGGGGGGGGGGGATTAAAACCAAACACCCCCCACCCCACCCCTGCTTGCCAATCCTCAACAGAAATGCTCACAACAAATGAACCTCGGACAGGAGGAAGAGCGCTGCCTGGTGGGCAGGCAGGTGTCTTGCTCGGCTGTGGCTTGGGGGGCACTTTTTTCAGTCCCATTGTAACTTCGAACAGTCACTAAGCGAACTGTTGTAAGTCGAGGACTACCAGTACTTCATCACTTTTTTCTTTTTTTTTTTTTGGTCATCAAGTTTTTGACCCCTTGCTAGGCGACTGGTGGTACTCGGATACTGCCCTATCCTAAAAGTGGTACAATGGGTGAAAAGGTTGAAAAGCCCTGCAGTCTAAAGGACAACTGGGTCGGAAAGACTCCCTTAAAAATTTTAAATGCAAGTTTAGAAAAAAGATAACGAGCAGCACCAATTGCAATAGGCGATTTTAAAAGGCTCCCTTATATTAGTTCAATCAGACGCAGGAGGGTCTCTACCCCGTCCTCACCTATCCTCTCCTGCTCCATCTCAGCTGCCACGGTTCGCTCAAGGACTGACCCGGAAACTCTCCCTCCGGGCTGTCATACTGAGGGCGGAACCTTCCCTCATCGAAAGGAAGGGCAGCTGAAGGCACCCCCCGTTCAATCCGTTTCTCAGGGTGGCGGTAAACATTGTCGTCACAGGTCAGTAAGCGGAAGTGAAACGGGGTTGGTCAATCGAAGGAAGGGCGGGCGTCTGGTTGGAGAAAACGACTTTCGCTTCGAAACGAAGGACGGATTGGCTAAATGAGCAACAACAGCTGTCCAATGACAGGGCGGTATGCAAATCGAAGGCGCTTCACCACTCGACTGTTCCGCCCGAACCCCAAAGCCAGCCAATGAGCAGTTGGATATTCAAATACTGTTTTAAAAAACTGTTGGGCTTCGGATCATCCCGTACTTCGAACGTCATCACTGTCCGTGGTTCAACCAATGAGAGCCTAGCATGCAAATCGAGAACGCCCTCTCTGTTTTCCTTTCCTGTTTTTCCGCTCTCGTGCCTCCAGAGAGGCAGGCTCCCGTATTCTCAGCCAATAGCTTTCGCGTGTCGCGGCGGTTTATGCAAACCACGCCTCCTCCCTACTCTTCCCCCTCCTCCTCCTCCTCCTCCTCCTCCATCTTGGGAAGGACTCTAGATTGAAAGGCAAACCATAAAAAAAGAAGCAACAGGTGAGTGGGGGGGAAAAAAAAAACCCAAAGCAAGGATGCCGAAGCGTCGTTACGCTCTGCGTTGGCCTGAGCCGCAATGCATCTTGGGACGGCTCGGCGCCCGTTCGCGGGGAAAGCTGGGGGTAGGGGCTGGCTCCCGGTGCATCCTGGGAGGGCGCGGTGCATTGTGGGAGGGTCCGGAGTGGAACGTTTGCGTTGCCTCCAGAGGTTCGTAGGCGGCGGCGGCCAGGTCGAGTTGGCGGCTTCCCCCCAATTTGGAGCCCTTGCAGGTAAGTCCTTGACACGCCCACAAATCCCCCCCCGCAGTGCATATCCGGGTGAGCGGGGGGGCGGAGGGAAACTGCAGCCAAATCCAGAGAGATCGTACAGGTAGTCCTCGACTTGCAACAGTTCCTTTAATGACCGTTTGGAAGCTACAACAGCACGGGAAAAAAGTGAGTAATGACCGTTTTTCACACTTATACGGCCGTTGCGGCATTCCCCAGGGTCACGTGATCAGAATTCAGATGCGTGGCAACTGGCTCATATTTACCACCATTGCAGGGTCAATGCCGTCCCCTTCCTGACAAGCAAAGTCAAGGGGAAAACCAGGATTCACTTAACAACCTTGTTCCTAACTTAACAACTGCAGCGTGGTTCACTTGACAACTGTGGCAAGAAAGGTACAAAGGGGTCAACACTGACTTAATGACTCCAAGTCTCGTTTAGCAGCATAAATGTTGTGTTCAATGGTGGTGGTGAGTCGAGAGTACCTGTAATAGGTTTGCTTTAAAAGAAATAGAAACTGCAGTGCTATACATTCCAAGAAAAAATGCATCAATAAAATATTATAATAATAATAATAATAATAATAATAGTAGTAGTAGTAGTAGTCATAGACAAAATGCCAAATCCAGTCTGAACATCTGGCTGACTGTGCGATGATCCATAATAATAATAATAATAATTGTTGATAAGAAAGACAAAAAAGTCTGGATAGTGGACGTGGCAGTGCCTGGAGACAGCAGAATAGACGAGAAAGAACTGGAGAAGATAACAAAATACAGAGACCTACAAATAGAAATAGAAAGACTGTGGCAAAAGCAAGCAAAGGTAGTACCAATAGTAATAGGTGCCTTGGGTGCAGTCCCAAAACAACTGGAGCACCACTTGAACACCATTGGCATTGACAAATTCGCTATTAGTCAATTGCAAAAGGCAGCCTTACTAGGAACTGCTTCCATCCTCCGACGATATCTGTAATACCATCAAACATCCACATCTGCCTATCCCAGGTCCTGGGTAAGGACTCGATAGGTAGACAAAATGCCAAATCCAGTCTGAACATCTGGCTGATTGTGCGATGATCCATACTAATAATAATAATAATAATAATAATAATAATAATAATAATAATAATAATAATAATAATAAAGTTGGAAGGGACCTTGGAGGTCATCGAGTCCAACCCCCTGCTCAGGCAGATATTAAACGAAAGAGTAAAATATATTAATGTGTACTTGCCAATCCTGAGGGTGCCCTGCCTGCATGTATACCCGTCAGTAATCAAACACCAAGCTTTACCTGACTGATTCCTTCCTTGTTTTCCAATTCTAGCCAGTATTGTACTATTCCATCATGATTGTTTTGCCACCTGGGTTGACAGAAGATGAAGAAGCCCTGCAGAAGAAATTTGCCAAACTCAAGAAAAAGGTCAGCTTGTTCAGCTTGAGGGTGAAATTATTCTTACAAGTACCGGTAGTCTTTGACTTGGCAACTGACTCGTATTTATGACAGTTGTAGTGTCTCGGGATCGTGTGATCACTTTTTGTGACCTTCTGACAAACAAAGTAACTGGGGATACCAGATTCACTTAACCGTGTTACTAACTTAACAACTGTAGTGATTCATTTAACAACGGTGGCAAGAAAGGTTGTAAAATGGATCAAAACTCACTTAACAACTGTCTCACTTAGTGACATAAATTTTGGGCTTAATTGTGGCTGTAAGTCAAGGATGTAAATGACAGCCAGATGTTTAATACAATAGGAAATAAAGGGACTAGGGAAGGGAGGGAAGTTAGACTATGTGTATCTTTTACTGATTTTAATTTTTTTCTTCTTCCCATCAGAAAAAGGCCCTCATGGCCTTAAAAAAGCAACAGGGTTCAACCAGTCAGGCTATCCAGGGAGGAATTAAACGATGTAAGTCGGACTTTTGTGAAAACATGGGCTGCTGTGAGTGAAGTGTTCTCTTGCCAATATTGGCCATTTGGGGACAGCAGTTTTTCCCTTTCTTCCCTGTTTCCAGCCATCTCAGATCAGCCAGTAGTCGACACCGCAACAGCCACAGAACAAGCCAAGATGCTGGTGAAAACGGGGGCCATCAGTGCTATCAAAGTTGAGAACAAGAACTCGGGATTCAAACGCTCTTGGACTCGGAAGGTGAAACCGAAAGTAAGCCGGGTTAATGCAAGGAGGTGCAGAAGAAAGATTCTATTGCTGGAGTGTCCAAACTTGGCAACTTTAAGACCTGTGGA